GAACTACAAAATTAATTCCACATATGACTACATGTGTGCGTCACATATGGGACCTCGCGCAGTAAGTTACATAAGGGACCACGTGGGCGTGCGTCGATTATGGAGCCTCGTATGGCAGTGTTGGGGCCACTGTTATATCCCGAAAGACTAAACAGCAGCTAGTAAACTTACTGAGTAGAAGGTGCGGGAAGTCGCCTGCAGCCCGGCCCTCGGTGTGTGCCTTCAACACTTACAACATTAAAACACTGTAACATGAACCACTGTTATGTTCACACCTGATATGCTCGCCGGGCCAAGTGGAGGGAGTGGTGGTGGTGGTGGGTCAGTATTAATGTATCAGGTGGTGGTGGTGGGTCAGTATTAATGTATCTGGTGGTGGTGGTGGGTCAGTATTAATGTATCTGGTGGCGGTGGTGGGTCAGTATTAATGTATCTGGTGGTGGTGGTGGGTCAGTATTAATGTATCTGGTGGTGGTGGTGGGTCAGTATTAATGTATCTGGTGGTGGTGGTGGGTCAGTATTAATGTATCTGGTGGTGGTGGGCGCTGTATCCACTCCACCTGGCTGCCGCTCCCCTTATGTAATGACTCTGTATTTAAAAACAATACTAAATACGTGTTAATAGATGAACTTGTTGATAGTGAAGGGATGGAGAGAGACCAAATGGATACTTGACGGGTGTCTGTGTGTATACCTCAGGGGTGTGTGTGTATACCTCAAGCACGTGTGTGTGTGTGTGTGTGTGTATAACTCAGGGTATGTATATACGTCACGCGTATACATGTAAAGGGAGACTAATTAGGTGTATATGTATAAGGGGGGACCAATCAAGTGTAGTGTATGGGAGGATGGAGGAAGGTGTATTGATGTATACATAAACAGAGAGAACTCATTAGCATCAACAAACAGCATAGTGAGTCAGGCTGGCTGGCTGGCTCATGTGACGTCACTCCTAATTACAAGTGGATTCCAAAATTATGAAAGTCAAATTGAAATCATAATCATTACAGTAAACTTTCTAAAAATGGAATGTGAAAGAGAGATTTTATATTACCACATTTAAAACAATAACACACACCACAGAGTAACAGTAAAACGTTATTTGATGAGTGAAGTGTGTTATATAATTCACTCTATAACCATTTATTATAGTTGATCTTTCAGCAAAAAAAAAAAAAAAATTACACAGATATTGAGATAATAAGATCATAAGAAAATATAATTATATGAGTTATTTTGAGGATGATGAACAATACACTGAAGGCAACATCAGTGTATAATAATTATTGATGGGTTTTTGATCTATAAGAAAAACAAAACATGAGATTCAGTGAAGGTGTCGGGGTGTAGTGTAAAGCACCAGTTGTATTATTATGTTCTGTGTTCTCGTTTTTCCTTCTATCCACTGTCTCGTTGCTAGTCCATTTACGAGAGAGAGAGAGAGAGAGAGAGAGAGAGAGAGAAGTTACCTTTACCACTCTCTTTTATCATGTCAGTTACAAGGACAAAGTACAGAAAGCTCTCTCTCTCTCTCTCTCTCTCTCTCTCTCTCTCTCTCTCTCTCTCTCTCTCTCAATAACAAGTATATAGAGACACTGATAAATTCGTCTATCTTTCTCTCCTTTATTATCATCTCACTAACAAGGTAAAAGTGAGATAAGGCAGCAGTGACCAACACAACTGCCTTGTTAACACAGCATATATACTTGTCTTGGGGAGGGGAGGGGGCGAGGTTGTGTCTTCCACCTCGTTAACATCAATACAACAATTAACAACAGATTCATCATGTATAAGACAACAACATACTCGGCAGCCACCAATAAATAAAATAAATAAATAAATAAATGAAAAGCGAGTATAATACATTACATGGAAGTTTAATAATTGATACACCTGGTCACTTAACACTGTCTTCTATTGATGGACGTTACCTGACTAGAATTGTGTGTCTTGGGAATTCGTAAGTCCTTCTGTGGTTGAAAAAGTTCTCTAGGGTGGAGTATGGTGTTGGGTGTGATGGTAGGGTGTGTAGGGATGGGTGGTTGAGCTGTGGGGGGATGTGTGTGTGTGTGTAGGGATGGGTGTTTGAGCTGTGGGGGGGATGTGTGTTTGAGCTGGGGTATATCATAGTGGCTGTTTGAACCTCAGTGATTGAAGAAATATCGAGTATGAGAAATAATGCTGAAATTTATCGAAGGAAATATATCTTTAAAACACTCTTTTAAACAATATCTAAATATGAATTTCATATATTTGGATTAATCATTTACATCATATTATTAAAGTAGTCGAAAATTCTAATGTGTAATACATAACATTCGGTTTTTAGAAGTGAAAAACAATTAAGTTATGAACCGACACACTACAGCAGAGGTTGAGAGCGTAAGTGATGCTCCTCAAGCTGCGTCGATGCTCCTCAAGCTGCGTCTTCCTTCACCACCACGCCTTGGGAGCCCTCGTACTCGCTCCTGCCGGCCACTCTCACCTGTGTACCTGGCACTACTCTCTACTCTCCACGCTCCAGGGCAATAAAAAATTAAAATATATTCATATATACAATTCTCAACTAACGTACAAATGGTTATCTAGATGTCAAGTTTATCGTGTACACTGTTTGTCGAGGGAGTTGATTCAAACACCTGGATTTATATTAGCAATAATATCACATCCCTACTGGATTACACGTTTCCAAGGCAGAATGTCTGTCACCTTCATTCATGTAGTGAGTTGTCACTAGAACTTCACTTCTGTCATTGCTTGTTCTAGCTTCAGTCTACATCAGGGTATTCTGTTATGAGTTTAGTAATGTTTAGATTGACAGGACTGAACACTGGCGGGTGATTCTTATCCATTTTTTTGTCATCGTTCTTTGGTAGACCTGTAATGCTTCAGTAAGAATACACATAACATTACGGGGGCGGGAAGTCAGAGTCACCGAAGAGAAATGGTGGGTAAGACGGCCAGTTGTCGGGCAGTGTGAAGTATTCTGGTGATGGCGGACTCTCCCGTTTTTCCTCAGGTGGTGGTGGCGGTGAGGGCGTGGGCGGCGGGCTCTTGTGTCGGACGTCAATAGGTGGAGGAGGAGGTGACGAAGGAGGTAAAGAGGTAGTCTCTTCCTGTTTGTCATCGGAGGCTTGTGAAGGAGTTTCGTGTATTATGTCAAATGGTGGCTCCGGTGAAGGACTTTTGTGTATAATATCAAACGGTGGCGCAGGAGGAGGACTCTCTTGCCGTATATCAAGTGGTGACTCAGGAGGCGGACTCTCGTGTATCACATCAAGGGGAGGCAACATGCTATGTATGCAGTATATTTCGCTTCTTGGAATTGAAGGTGGATGTACACTTTCAAGTTTCACTTCCGCATGTATTGTTGATTTCTGGCACTTTTGTTTGGCTGGTAACGGCGGTGTAATAGGAGGACTTTCTGCGTCGAAGAAATTGGGTATCGGTGGAGGTGTGGGAGGAATGTCGTCATCGTCAAAGAAACGTGGTATTGGTGGTGGCGTTGGTGCGTGTTCGTCAGGTGCTGAGCTCTCCGGCATAGTTTCGGTTGGAGGTTGCGGTAATACTGGTTGTTGGAGTTCTTGGTGACTTGGTGGTGGTAAGGAGGTGGTGGGAGAATCTTGATATGGCAGCACCTCATTTTGGTCAGCCGCGCCTACTGGTGTTGACTTTTGGGAATCTTCTGAATTGTCTGACTCTGGGAGATCATACTGCGTTGGTGATTCTGAAGAGTCTTCATTGGGGAAATTTGGGAGAGGAGGAGACGGTGATGTATTGCAGAGGAACGATATGGAGCTGTCGTGCTGTGAGTTGCTTGCTGATGAGGAGGTCTGTTGGCGATCATGTGGCGAGGAAGGCGTCAGCTGTAAATTAGGCGACAGTGGTGGAACAGAGTGAAGACTGCCAGGAGGTGAATAGTGGCTTTCGTACTGGAGCTTGGCCGGTGACAGAGTAATAGCACTCTGCTGACCGACAGACGAGGAAGACAGACGCCTGCTTGCATGTGACGGGGAGATGATGGAGCCTGGCGGTGACGATGCTGAAGAGTGTTGCTGTAGATCGTTTATATAAATCCATCTACAGTCTGGAGGAGGTGATGGGGACTTTTTCTGGTGGAGATAGACTGATGGGTAGGTGTTTATTAGATGAGCAGGTGGAGACGCTGGGGAGCTGCGACTTCCCGGTGAACACGCTGGTGTATTTGGGTGTAGAGTGGGTGATGTATCACAGCGGAAGTCTGGTGGGGGTGAGGGCGACGCCTGATGCTGCATACATATAGGAGACGTTGGTGAGGAGCGAGGATCATGGAGGTCAGTGTGTGACATTGACAGCAAGGTTTCTTTATAGCGGTGATCGGGCATAGGAAGAGTCGAAGCTTCGTGTCTAAAATCAGGAGGTGGTGAAGGCGAGGTTTCATGTTTGAAATTTGGTGGTGGTGAGGGTGAAATTTCATGGAGAAAATCATGTGATGGTGATGAGCTGGTGTTGCTGGGACTGCTTGGAGGAGCTGGGAAACAACTTGGCCATTCCATTTCCTCTAACGGCTTGTATGACTCCCCTAATACCTTCTCACTAAGAGAACTTTTTGTATCCTCTGCTTCTTCCTCCTCCAGGTGACTCATCTTAGTGATGCTCCACGTTGGACTGTTAGCCTTGTCTGACGCAGGGCTCAGAGAAGGCTTTCGATCATCATCCTTAGATTTTAATTCATCTTTTTCTTTCCTCGGACTGAGGAGTGGTGGAGGGCTGTGTGTCCCATTTGACAAACGAACTCCTGGATTATGAGCTCCATTAGGGAGACGAAGAACAGGCAGACGCCGCACCCCATTATGCTGACAGGAAGGATTATTTCTGGTGCCATTATGAGCAAAACGCATGCGGCCACCGCCAGTGTGTGAAGGTGCGCGAGGAGTGTTCCAGCCATTGATAAGAGCAGCAAGTCTAGCTAAGAGTGCAGTCAACCCCGGGGGTCCGTCGTCCTCCCGGGGGGCGTATTGTCAGACTGTTGTCTCAAAATCTACGTCGATACAGTCAGGATATTCTGGTGGTTCTGGCGGAGACTCGTGGTGGCCTGGAGTTAATACTTCTTCACTACACCCACTTGCTCCGTTACGTTCATGTCGAGTTTTCCACAGCGTCCAGCCCCACCAACCTGATAACACTGAGATACATCCAACAGCCAGACCAAATGTTAGCCAGAGCCATGGAGACAAAGCCATGAGACACGTTACAACGGCTTCGTCAGCACCTGACGGACAGTGCCACGTCCCATCACAGAAGAGGGAAGCACTGATACAAGCGTGTACGGCAGGACACTCAGTGGCGCACCTAGTGGCCAGCCAGCGTGGTGCTGCCTCCACCCAGCGAACATCCACTGCTTTATGTTGTTGCTGTTGGGATTGGCCCGAGAGATATGCGGGGCGACTGAGTAACACTACAACAAGAGATCTTGCTGCTTCCCCCAAGTAGTCTAGCGATAATGGCTCATTAAAGCCCTCAGAGAACACGTGAACTGTCTCGGCTGCTCCGGGAGACACACACACTGCACTAAGTGGTCTTGGATTACCTGGCTGGTACACGTGAAGCTCAGAACTCTGGCACTCTGTCGGTGCTATAGAGTCATCAGCTGCTACTAGATGGCCATGAGCTGCTACCTGCAAGCCTCCTCTGATAACCTTACCAGGAACTGAGACCAGCAGGAACCGGTTAGCCGTTGGCTGAAGAAGCCACGGGTGACCTCGGCACGGCCCAGGAGGTGGTCGTAGGGCCAAACTTAGCGTGCCAGCTTCGCCTCGAACTATTCTGTCTTCTTCACACGCCTCAATTTCGACGAATTCGTATTCTAGTTCGAAGCTGAAGTGTGAGAAATCATCGAAAACATCCATACCTACAACAGTGAAGGTGATGGTAAGGGAGGCAGAGTAGGAGAGTAAGGTTGCTGGAAGGTAGATGCCATGGCAGATACACGCCTGTGGTAGCTCTACACCTGGCCAGGGCCACTCAGACACCTCCAGGCGAGCACCGCGACCCTCCAAGGCCTTAGGTCGCCCACATGCCTGTAGTGGTGTTTCGCGTCTTGGACACGACGAGTTGTGGGCGTAAAAGTAGATGAATGTGATCCTCACTGCTTCATTAGCTTTACCTTGCAGAGTATATCTACACTTAAGCCTTGTTGCTCCAAACTTGCCGTACAGCAAGTTATTAGCAGGTGAGGCAAGAAGGCCCTTTTTGCTGCGCTCGCTATTGATAGATCTGTCGCAGGGCTCAGGACGGTTGAGAGCTGCAGCTCGGGGACCCGCGTATACAAACTCGTAATGGAGTCGGAACTCTAAATCTGCTACTGTTGATGGCAGCAAATAGTGAATGGTGAGTGTTGCATGAGAAACAGATGTTAAGTAGCTCTCTTGGGGTCCACAGGGCCGTGTTCTGTTTCTTCCAGGACCGAGCTGCTCTCGGTGACACACCCTCACGCCCAGAGGGCCACAGGTGTTCTCTAGCATTTCTCCGTCAGACTCTGCTCCTTCCACCAGTACTACACGTGTCCGGCAGTGAGGACCATCACGTGACAGAGGTTGCGTGTAGGTAGACTTAAGACGGGTGAAGTAAAGCCAGATCACTTCGTCTGGTCGACCCCGGAACTCATATACACATTTACTATCTCTTGGAAGTGAGTGTGCCACGTTTTCAAAATGGCCGTGTGCTGCCTCGAAACTGGAGATCACAAACTCACACAGTTGGTCGGCATAAAGGAAAGAGTTTTTAGGTACAAAAGCCACGCCAACATCTAACTCAAATCCAGGATGAGTTCCTTCTGAGTAATCGAAGTGCAAATTGTCAAAAGGAGAGGTCTGGAAGACAAGTAAAAGTTCTGCCCCACTGGCTGTGATACGAGGCACCTTTCCACCACCGCAGAAGCGCATCAACAATCGCCGACTGTCTCCCTGAATTTCATATACACTAAGAGTGTCTCCCACGACGTCACAGTCACCATTCAGCCATAGGTGTAGGTTGCCGTCACAAGCAGCGTCGGTGTGTTTAATGTGGACCCTCCCTCTCTGAGGTTGACCCACACTTACCAGTGCATGGCGACCATGGGGCACTGTAGCCTGTCTAATGATGTACTGGCATGTTACATTACGAGGGTACAGGCCAGGGTAGTTAGGCGACTGCACTCGGCACTTACGTCGGTCGCAGGAGTCGAAAATCCGGTCACATACAGTTCCCGGTCGTGCCACGCCCAGGTATTTGGCGCTGTTCCAAGGCCCGTACCGCACGATGGACTCGGCCCCCAACAAGAACTTATACATAAGTCTTAGCCGAACTTTCTTTTCCCCGATGGTATCTTGCTCAGGCGCTGGGACCTCGAGGGTGACGGAGACAGTACTGGTCTCACTGTAGTAAACATTGTGGTCGCTGCTTCCCCCGCACCAGAAGCCGCCAATGTGGGGTCGATGAGCCTCGTTGACGGACATCTTACCCTGGGGACACCCACACACGTGATGCGAGCGAAAGGACCCCAGTACTAGGTCACGGAAGACGAGCTGCACCAGATCACCGAAGATGTCCCCCGCCGCCACGAAGGTCATGTGACAGATGAACGGAGGTTGTAAGGTCTCCGTCTCGTTTAAGTCGATCTCATAGCTTCGGCCTACCTCACCGTAGTACGTCACATTGCACGCTGAAACACAATGACAATATTACCACTATATTTACAAAGGCGGCGTCATACTAAACAGTGTAACTCTAGATTACTGTAGTTTAATAATTGAATTACTCCTTAATCTTATAAATACATACACTTTAATGCTACCTCCTGTTACCTAATGGGTTACTTTCTACAAGCATTGTTTATATACATACACATACATATATACATACAAGCAAACATATACATACAATACCAAGTCTATGAAATGCAAGCAGTAGCGGAATATTAATTACACACATTTGCATTCTAGTATATAAAAGCATTCTATTATCACTTCAGTTTGATGCTTTACTACAAACACACAGTTGTCTTCTCAAGGCAAAATAATCTGAAAAATCTCTTCCTTATATGACTTATTATTGTTCTTCTTTGTGACCTTAATACATCATCCATTAATAAAACACTTGATGATATTCTCCAGAACGTAATAATTTTGTTCCTTAAAATTTGTGTCCTTGTCATTAAGTTAAAGACTAAATCAGGGAAGGTAAAAGCAAGACGAGGCACTTAAAAATAACACCAACATTACTTAAGGAACATAAGGAAGTGACACAGTCGATAACATTGAAGTTGTGTTTCCTTGGTGACTTCTTACTTCTAACTCCTATTACTTAGTTTAGAGAAATCCTAAAAAAAAAAAAGTAATTTCTGTACATAATATGAATTTTAATAAAATACAAATCAAATAACAGTATAGTAATGTATCTTACTTGTTATAGGAAGTGTTAATTAGAATCGTAAATTACTTGATATCTAATAGTGTAGTTATTATGATTTTAAATATCATATTAATTTACTTACGTCTGTCAATTGAAATTAGTATGTGACATTTTATTAAGTTATTGTGTTTTTTTTTAGTTCAGGGTGTTGTGTGTAGTGTTGGTGGCAGTCCCTCCTCACTCCGTCTTTCTCCAAGTGGCATTGTCAAAAATCTATTCAAATTGCTCTCTCTCTCTCTCTCTCTCTCTCTCTCTCTCTCTGGCCGCCACTGTAAGGGATATTTTTCCTCTAAAATTTTCTCCTTAAACTAAAGACAACAACAATTATCCAGGTCACCGCTGCCTAGTATGACGTCATCAGCCAGCCACCAAAGAGCTTAAATTATTCATGTAAATTTTGAAATCAATACTTGCGAGGCTTAACACCTGTGGCCGTCACTCAGATAATGTTCCTCTGGCTCTGTCTTTTATGAGTCTTAAGTAAAAGTGTATGGGACTGGAACAGGACATCACTTCACCTGGCGCCACTAATGATGAGGAAGTAATCATTATACACACCTGCGTTGAGTACCTGCCACACTAGACGACCTACGAGTACACCTGTGTTGACGCCTACGGCACCAGACAGACATCATTACAGTGGAGAAAGAAGTCCTATTTTACTCTTGAACTACAGCAATACAGTGAAAGGAATGTGTGGTACAGCGCTACAGAAGGAAGGAAGGTACAGTAGGAAAGAAAGGTACAGTTCAACACTACAGAGGGAGTTACAGTACAGCACTACAGAGGAAGTAAGATACAGTACAACACTACAGGAGTAATCAGTTATAGAGGGAGGTAGTAGGAGGAGGAGGTGAACCTACGGGTACAGTTAGGCTTCTCGTCAGAGCTGTCCCCGCAGTCGTCCCTGCCATTACACACACGGTCCTTGGGCACACAGCGGAGATTGTCACAGGTGAATTCGCTAACGGGGCAGGGGCTGTGAGTGGCCACATTACCCGCCGCGCCCACCATCACCACCGCTGCCACTACCACCACCAGCAGTATGGCCACCCCTGCTGCGCCTGCCACCTCTCCTACCGCCGCCACCACCACACGCCCGACCCTCCTCACCATTACACATCGCCACACCCTGTACGGGAATAAGAAAAATATATTAGATTAATTGTCAACGAAATTATCATAAATAAACACAGTAACTTTAAATACAAGGGTCGTGTACTGGAACGTGGCGTGACACAGGCTGGGACGTGAAATGACACAGAGATGGACTTGACACAATTCCGCAATGCCTATCACTGTCGAAAACTAAATGTTGACTCCGTAACCTTACAAGTCGATAGAGAAAATCCACACTAATTATTATCTATCTATGCTACACCTAACCTAACCTAACCTGACCTAACCTGAAATATCAAGAGCTTAGATAATTTTTATTTCTCATGTTAAAATATTCCTCCATCACCAAATTGTTAGGTTTACCATATAGTTATGTGTGTGTGTTATTGTATCCACTAAGATTATACTTTATACTAATATTTTGTTAGTATCGTTAAGGTCGTCGTCTCTTACAGTTATGTTAGAGTTGTGTGAATACTACAGTGTTCATCCTTAAGTTACACGCTGCCTTAGTCAACCACGGTACATGTAACATGACACTTACACATCTCCTCCACCTTTCAACACTCGGTGGCTCACTTGCTTCATATGAGCCACACAGAGTCTCTCTCACTTGCTTCATATGAGCCACACAGAGTCTCTCTCACTTACTTCATATGAGCCACACAGAGTCTCTCTCACTTTTAAGTTTTCTCAGTTCGTTGTTCTCAGTACGAATTATGTTACTTATAGTCATCACATTTTGTCCCTGAGGCTCACACAGTGGATGTTTATGACCTTCCATCAACTCACACAACCAGCAGCTTAACAATATATCTATTTTAACTGTCCGCTACACCATTTGCTCACAAGAGTGATGTGCTTAACCATCTGCCGGGTTCCTTCAGTCAGTGCTAACATTTACGTAGATTTTACTATCATTTTTGTTCATACACATTCTTTTGTCATATATGGCTGTCTACTTTCTGTTTCATTCCTCAATGTTGTAACAAATTTCATTTTAACTTTGTAATTTTTGCTCTTTCGTTTCCCTTTCATATATAAATTTGTTTTGTTATTAGTTTCTCTTGCTCGCCGGGCTCTGTAGTCTCGCTCCAGCAGAGTCGTTGATCTGTAGCTTTGTTAACCAGCGGTGACGTCCATCACAGTCATATGTATGTGTGTACACCCTACCAGGTAGACTGTACATTACCATAAAGGCCACATGGATTGTCGTCCTATAGTGTGAGCTGGGGTAGCGGAACAGCTCCTCTAGAGGCGGGTGCCGGAACTGTCAACTCAAGACACACTGCACTGAATATAGCCAACACGAACACCAGGAAGCCAGATTTAATCTATCGTGAACCAGCGGTGCTCAAGGCAACAGTGTCGACTGATATTTGGTTTACACAAACTTTAATATCCAGCCACGGAGAATTTTTTTTTGTTTCTCAGAAGTGCCGCCGGCCATTATGTCTTACGACCCTCTTGATGGACCAAGTGACGACCACTTGACCTATAACACGACGATGCCACTTGTGTAACGACCCTTGATTTAAATCACGACGATGCCACTTGTGTGACGACCTCTGGGCTCATGCTAGGTTAGTTCTACCATCAGCACCCGGGCTGCTTACGCCACACACACACACACACACACACACACACACACCGGTAAAAGGAACCTTGATAAAATCTCGTTAAATTAAAAACATCACACAAAATATATTTGGCTAAACATCACATAATAAGTAACTGTTTGACCTACACCCACCGGGGACGACTGTGTCCCAGCTATACTATTTACCCGTCAGCGCCTCGGGGAGTTAAACACTTAAATGAAAAGTACAGCCAGTAGGAAAATATCAAGTGTGCGGTTCGTGGACTGTGTTAGGAGGAAACTTTGTGCCCGCAACGTTGAGAATGGTTGAACCTCGCCTAAAGTACACCACAACACGATCACTTGTGGGGCGACCTTAACTTCTCTATGTCCATCGTATGTATATATATATATATATATATATATATATATATATATATATATATATATATATATATATATATATATATATATATATATATATATATATATATTAACCTCTTTCGTTTTAAAGAATTTCATAGATGTAAAACGAATACTAAGGATCATACTTGGTAGTTATTGCATTAAAGTACCATAAGAGGATCTTTGTTACTTATGAAAGGGATTGGGAGCAGTCTTTTCCTCTCACTGAAGATGCTTCGAGTCTATGGAGAAGAATATGAAGAGAAACTAGGACTTTTTACCTTGAGTTGTCCTTGAAGGTATTGGAGGAGGGGTCATGGTTCACTAAGACACCACCAGGGGGGTCATGGTTCACTAAGACACCACCAGGGGGGTCATGGTTCACTAAGACACCACCAGGGGGCCATGGTTCACTAACACACCACCAGGGAATCATGGTTCACTAACACACCACCAGGGGTCATGGTTCATAACACACCACCAGGGTCATGGTTCACTAACACACCACCAGGGGTCATGGTTCACTAACACACCACCAGGGGGGTCATGGTTCACTAACACACCACCAGGGGTTCTAACACACCACCAGGTCATGGTTCACTAACACACCACCAGGGGTCGTGGTTCACTAACACACCACCAGGGGGCATGGTTCACTAACACACCACCAGGGGGTCATGGTTCACTAACACACCACCAGGAAGTCATGGTTCATCAACACACCACCAGGGGGGTCATGGTTCACTAACACACACCAGGGGGGTCATGGTTCACTAACACACCACCAGGGTCATGGTTCACTAACACACCACCAGGGGGTCATGGTTCACTAACACACACAGGGGGGTCATGGTTCACTAACACACCACCAGGGGTCATGGTTCACTAACACACCACCATGGATCCTCACAGGGGGGAGGGGGGGGGACGCTTCGTGCCTCAAGCGAAAAAAGTGATGTAAAAGACATTAGCTTATTAGCAAAGTTGTGTTACGAAGTTATAATTAATGACACGAGGACGACGAATAACGTGTTACAGAGCCATGGTGACTGATGGTAACCAAGACAGTGATGGTGTTACAGAGCCATGGTGACTGATAGTGACCAAGACATTGATGTATTAGAGATATAGTGACCGGTGTTGCGAAAAAAATACTATTACTAAATATCACAGGAATCATGGAAAGGTATTTGAATCTCTTTTAAAACTGCCTCAACTCTCCAACAGTAACTAGATAGTTTTAGATTCACTCGAAATTGTTTTATAAGTACTGTAGAGAGCCAGGGAATATTCAAAACCTCGTTATATATGTTAATTAAACTACCTGAGCGTATGAAATCCTCCCTAATTCATTTTAACACCAACGATTCCTTCTAGAATTGTTAGAGCTACCTTATGTAAGTTTATCAGTTCGAGGTTTTATGTTTTATCATGAGGATATTATTCAACAACTTTGATTTGATATTAATATATAGTATACCACATCTTTATTATCGTGAGGCAAATAGGTTTAAAATTTTGTTAATAGGATTTTTCACATCCCAGAACGTAGACTTTTCTAAAGGAATCGTATCAATGTGTCTAGGCTGTGATAACTCCGGTCGCTCAATACACTCAGTAAAGTACTTCTTCCACTTCCCGCCTCTGCTACTAGCTTATACTCTCCCAAAATATGCTATACCTCTAGACTTCACTGTCGTAAAGTCTCTTCCCGTTAAACTATAAAACCAAAGTGATTACCGGACGTAATGAATCATTAAGCCATCTCATTATCGATATTTTAGCTTATAAATTAGATTCTGCTTTACTTAACAAATTTTCCAATATATATTTTTTTTTATTTAAAGAGACTGAGAAGCCTTTGAGCCGGGATGAGATGTCTGATTATATTGTGAACAAAGCAAGTGGCTATAACAGGGGATAATTACGTTTCTTTGATAAACCAGTGAAGAAGAAGATAAAAGAATGATCCCACAGTCAATATTGAGTCTCAGGAAAACTTTATAAGAGTGGTGCGTCCCTCCACAAGGAAGACTCACGGAAGGACAATTTTACTGGAACTGTGAGAGAGACACCTGGAAATATTTATTTTTTCTGCCATGAGGAAAAAAAATCAGAGAATTTTTTTTAATAGATGGAAAAAGAGAATATTGGAGCTTGATGGAACACTAACTGTTAACTGAGCTGAGTGGACCACATGGATGAGACTAACTGTTAACTGAGCTGAGTGGACCACATGGATGAGACTAACTGTTAACTGAGCTGAGTGGACCACATGGATGAGACTAACTGTTAACTGAGCTGAGTGGACCACATGGATGAGCTAACTGGCTGAGAGTGGACCACATGGATGAGACTAACTGTTAACTGAGCTGAGTGGGAACACTAACTGTTAACTGAGCTGAGTGGACCACATGGATGGACTAACTGGGCTGACCACATGATGAGCTAACTGGTTAACTGGGCTGGACCACATGGATGAGACTAACTGTTAACTGAGCTGGAGTGGACCATGGAACACTAACTGTTAACTGAGCTGAGTGGACCACATGGATGAGACTAACTGTTAACTGAGCTGAGTGGACCACATGGATGAGGCTAACTGTTAACTGAGCTGAGTGGACCACATGGATGAGACTAACTGTTAACTGAGCTGAGTGGACCACATGGATGAGACTAACTGTTAACTGAGCTGAGTGGACCACATGGATGAGACTAACTGTTAACTGAGCTGAGTGGACCACATGGATGAGACTAACTGTTAACTGAGCTGAGACAACAGACAATACAGTCAATGAAACTGTACCCAAATAGATTAGTTCACGTAATATAAAGAAAATATAACATAACAGATTTAAGGCCATTGGACACATCAGGAATATATACCCTCAAGATCAACCAGTGTCTTATAATGTTACATATAAACTAAACATATTATACAAAACAAGATCACAAATAACAGTAGTTTCTTTTGTGCTCTTTATTGGTTATTGATTAAATATATGGGGAAATTGCAATCACATAACGGT